TGCCCACTCTCACCACTTTTATTCAGCAGAGTTTTGCAAGTCCTAGCTATGGCAACCAGGAAAGAAATAGAAATAAAAGAATCCAAATTGGAAAAGAAGAAGTTAAAATGTCACTGTTTATAGATGACATGACACTATACATAGAAAATCCTAAAGACACTATCAGGAAACTGCTAGAGCTCATCAGTGAATCTGGTAAAGTTGCAGGCTACAAAATTAATACACAGAAATGTGTTGCATCTATATACACTAACAATGAAAGATCAGAAAGAGAAATTCAAGAAACAACCCCATTTACCATTGCATCAAAAAGAATAAAATATCTGGGAATAAACATACCTAAGGAGACAAAAGAGCTGTACTCTAAAAATTATAAGACACTGATGAAAGAAATTGAAGACACAAACAGATGGAAAGATAAACCATGTTCTTGGATTGGAAGAATAAATATTGTCAAAATCACTATACTACCCAATGCAAACTACAGATTCAATGCAATCCTATCAAATTACTAATGGCATTTATCACAGAAATAGAACACAAAATCTTAAAATTTTTATGGAGACACAAAAGACCCTGAATAGCCAAAGCAATCCTGAGAATGAAAAATGGAGCTGGAGGAATCAGGCTCCCTGACTTCAGACTATACTACAAAGCTATAGTCATCAAAACAGTATGGTACTGGCACAAAAATAGAACTATAGATCAATGGAACAGGATGGAAAGCCCAGAAATAAACCCATGCACCTATGGTCAATTAATATACGACAAAGGAGGCAAGACTTTACAATGGTGGAAAGACAGTCTCTTCAACAAATGGTGCTGGGAAAACTGGACAGCTACATGTAAAAAAATGAAATTAGATCATTCTTTAACACCACACAAAAATAAGCTCAAAATGGATTAACGACCTAAATGTGAGACCAGACACTATTAAATTCCTAAAGGAAAACGTAGGCAGAACACTCCCTAACATAAATTGCAGCAATATTTTTTCTGACCCATCTCCCAGAGTAATGGAAATAAAAACAAAAATAAACAAATGGGACCTAATTAAACTCAAAAGCTTTTGCATAGCAAAGGAAACCATAAACAAAACAAAAAGACAGCCCACAAATTGGGAGAAAATATTTGCAAATCATGTGACTGACAAGGGATTAGTCTCCAAAATTTACAAAAAGCTCATGTGGCTTAATATCATGAAAACAAACAACCCAATCAAAAAATGGGCAGAAGACCTAAATAGACATTTTTCCAAGGAAGACATATGGATGGCCAAGAGGCGCATGAAAAGATGTTCAACATTGCTAATGATTAGAGAAATGCAAGTAAAAACTACAATGAGATATCACCTCACACCAGTCAAAATGGCTATCATTTAAAAATTCACAAACAGTAAATCCTGGAGAGGGTGTGGAGAGAAAGGAACTCTCCTAACTGTTAGTGGGATCATAGATTGGTATGGCCACTATGGAGAGCAGTATGCAGGGGCCTTAAAAAACTAAAAATAGAGTTATCATATGACCCTGCTATCCTACTCCTGGGCATATATCCAGAGAAAAACATGGTCTGAAAGGATACATGCACCCCAATGTTCATTGTAGCACTGTTTATAATAGCCAAGACAGAGAAGCAACCTAAGTGTCCATGGACAGAGGAATGGATAAAGAAGATTTGGTACATATATACAATGGAATATTACTCAGCCATAAAAAAGAATGAAATAATGCCATTTGCAGCAACATGGATGGACCTAGAGATTGTCATACTGAGTGAAGTAAGTCAGACAGAGAAAGAGAAATATTGTATGATATCGCTTACATGCAGAATCTAAAAAGAAATAATACAAATGAATGTATTTACAAAACAGAAATGGACTCACAGACTTAGAGAAGGAACTTATGGTTACCAGGGCGGGGAGAGTGGAGGGAAGGGTAGTAGGGAGTTTGGGATTGACATGTACAGACTACTATATTTAAAAAGGATAAACAACAAGGACCTACTGTATAGTGCAGGGAACTCTGCTCAATGTTATGTGGCAGCCTGGATGGGAGGGGAGTCTGGGCGAGAATGGATACATGTATATGTATGGCTGAGTTGCTTTGCTGTGCACCTGAAACTATCACAACATTGTTAATCGGCTATATTCCAATATAAAATAAAAAATGTTAAAAAAATGAAAAGGAGTGCCTCCAATCCATTAATGGTAGATTAGGTCCAGCCTTAAGTAAAATGGTGAGAAAGAATAAAATTTATCTTCAGGATTTTGGGCCTCCACGTCCTTTCATCTGTAACCAAAGGACAACCTTCCTGCCATCTTCAATCTCACAATCTCTGTCACAATCTCCCCCGACATAGAAGAAATAGGAGGGCACTTGGCTAAGAATTTAATAAAATCCTGCTGAGAAGTACTTTCACATCTCTAGACACTTCTTTGGTGACTAAGCAAGTGGCCATCAAAGTTTTAAATTAAAAAGATGGACAGGGCTTCCCTGGTGGCGCAGTGGTTGGGAGTCCGCCTGCCGATGCGGGGGACGCGGGTTCGTGCCCCGGTCCGGGAGGATCCCACATGCCGCGGAGCGGCTGGGCCCGTGGGCCATGGCCGCTGAGCCTGCGCGTCCGGAGCCTGTGCTCCGCAATGGGAGAGGCCACAGCAGTGAGAGGCCCGCGTACCGCAAAAAAAAAAAAAAAAAAAAAAAGATGGACATATTTCTGACCCAGGCAGCCTAGAGAAACACAGTTTAAAAGGGGAGGACAGGATAGAGAAAGAAAATTAATATCCAACTCTATCGGATAAAGACAGACTTGCAAATTATGAAACAATTTAGACAAATATTTATCTTTATCTGTATGAGTCATGAGTTATTTAAACTTTAGACAACACAATTTCTAAGTATTACTATTTGTACTATAGATCTGTGTGTGTGTGCATACAAATGTCTGTAAGTTTCCTCAGTTACCTCACACAGATGGGGAGACCTGGATGGGAAACAGGCTTGGATGCCTGTGGCCATGAGGAGGTGTGCACTAGGAAGGGACACCTCCTCACCTCCTCCATCCTTTGTACTACTTGGAGAGATAGTCAGACTGGATTTGTTCTCATGAGCCTTTCCCTTAGCTATTCTGAATCTAATCACCCAGATTTTGAAAAACAGACTGCTGAGGAGACAGATGGATCCTCCAGGCAGACTAACCCTTGTAGGAGTGGGATTTCTAGAATTGAGATTGGAGAGTCACAAGGTCAAGGTTGCATCTGACAAACATCTATGAACCTGAGGTCTGGAGAGCATCATAGGTGAACCTCAGATGAAGCATTTAACTCCTTGGTGATTTTGTCATGAAACATGGGAAAAGACAGCTGTAGAAGATATAGCATATGCTTCCAGAAAATTCTTCCTCATGCATTATAATTTCCCAATGGTCACCTCAACCCTTCAGGGAAGTCTGAAACAGCCTATATGGTGGGACAGAGATTTGGGGGATAGAGTATTAAATAGGAGTGTGGCCTGCCCTGCAGTCGCCCCTTAATTGGGTCCTGGCAGAGATAGCAGCACATCAAGGGAACTGGGTTAGGGGTTTCGGGTATGACTGGCAGAACTGGGAGCCATGGTGGGGGGACAGCGAGTATGATATATTGAGGAGCAACTTCTGGGAAGATAACTCAAGAAAACCCAAAAAAGTCCCTCCTCTTTCTAAATATATCCTGAAGAAATGTGAGCCTTGATGTGTGTATAGGGTGGAAAGTGGGAGATAAGGGTCCAAGATGAAGCTGATATTCATATTACACATCCTTTCCCCTCTTCCCAACTCTTATTATCAGTTGCCCAGTGTCTTCCCTAACATCTAATACTGTACTCAGGAAAGAATCTGCTCTCAATTATTTACATCTTGGTGTGAATAAATTTAAGACAGCAGGCTTCTTTCTACTGAAGACTTCTGTAGGAGTAGGTCTAGCCTTGTGGCTGGGTTAGGATAGGAAATTAATAATAATGCAATTTGAGGTGAATTACCTCTCCCATGAGATATTTGCATTTTACTCCTGATATCTAATTGTGGAATTAAAATTTTAAAACTCATTAAAAGATATTTAATCCCAATTAAACAGAGAAAATAGTGCCTAGAGTGTATGGCTCCTAAAATCAAGCCAGGCAGTTAGCTCCCTATTCTACACTTGGTCATGGTCAGCCCTGGAGATAGGTAAGCACTCTGACACCACAGCCTTCCCTTGGGTATATGTGCACATTTCCAAGAGTTTTGTTTTGATTAGAGTTGGTTTGGGACTTAAGGCGGAATCCAGGGATCAGAATGGTTGAATTTATAAAATAAGAAGGGAAGATAAATTAAAGAGCAGTTGCCATTTGGTAGCAGAAATACACATAGAGTTCAGCCCCACTTTCTCACTCTCCCCACATGGAAGGCAAATACCATGCATTCAGGTACTTCCATTATTGACAGTTAAATATTCATGCTGGAGTCACAGGGAGAATTTATGTGTGATAAATCATCATGAAATACTCATTATAATCATATCAACATAGAATTGGTTCATAAGCATGGATATTTCATGGATATTGCTCTTCATTTTCAAGTGTGAAAATGTTTTCACACTTGCTTGACCCTTCATAGTAACCCCAGAGCAGGTATTACTATTATTGTTATTCCCATTTTCTAGATGAGAAAACTAAGATAAGGGGTCACTAATGATCACACTTCTTGTGTCCTGTGATTTTCAGACTTAATCAAAGAAGACAAATTTAATATTAAAAAGTTCACATTTATAAATTCAGAAGACAATTACTTGCTTTACGAAAGGATTTATCATAGGAAATTTTCATGCCACCATATTTAAAATATAATGTGTTCTTTGAGAATTTGAAATACACAGTTATAATATGACAATTATAAAGTGATATGCATATTACAGTGACACTTGGACTCAATGTCATTGAATAGTTACACTCATATCAAAGAAATGGACATTTAAAAAAATATAAACTTACATTTCCTCTCGCCGGTAGTCTAACTCCCACTGTGAATTATTCCCATTCTGAGAATAAATAATTCCCACTGTCACAGCTACCACTATAGCCGGGACTCCTATGTGATAAAGAGTCATAGAATTAATAATTTACCCAAGACTGGGATTAATTATAAAAGAACATGAATGAATTATACACCTGACCTTTTTCAGGATGTATTGTTCTTTCCACTATAGACAGTGTACTAAATGATCCTACAGATGTAGGTCAACAGTAGACATAGTTTTTCTGTGTTTTCCTTTCCCTATCAGTGTTGGCTATACATATCAATCCTATACTATTTCTGATTTCTTTGTAACTCTTACCACAATTTCCACTCTTAAATGGTCTAATTCCTCTTTCACTTGAATAAATTTAAATTTAGATAACACGAAAACAACTCTCCTTTGCTGGAACTCATTAAATTTTTCAAATTATTTTTCTTAAAAGAGTCACTCTGATTGCCTTGAAACATTTCTTTTAAAGTAGCTAGGAAAAGCAGGGTCAGGGTGGTGGTGGGATGAATTGGGAAATTGGGATTGACATATATACACTAATATGTATAAAATAGATAACTAATAAGAAGCTGCTATATTTTAAAAAATAAAATAAAATTCAAAAAAGAAATAAGGTTAATTTACAAAAAAAAATAAAGTAGCTAGGAAGTTTATATGTGGTCTAAATCTCAAGTCAAATAAATAGAGATGTTAAAGGAAATGAACATCTTGAAGTTAGCTCATGATGTATCTAGTATAGCTGCCTTGATCACATCTGCCTTCTTCACAGGAGAAGACACTCCTTCACTAGACAGAAGGCACTCTTAGTGATTGCTGGATTTTCCATCTCCCCTACCACAGGGCCTTGTACTATTAGGTCTTCAATAGGTGTTTGTTTAAATTAAGTGATTTCAACAAAATTAAATTCCTGAGTAAGTGAAGAAGCAAACACTTACCTCATCCAATTAAAGAGATGAAAAGAATGAAATGCTGAGGAAAAGGCTTCATGGTCCTAATAAGAAGGAAATGGAGCTGGGCAGCACTGAGTCCCATCCAGGTAAATGTCACTAACACAAAATAGTGCAGCAAGATAGCAATCGCAGTGCATGTGGGATTCGAGATGACAATGGTGTCTTGTCTGGACATTTCATTATTGCTCAAGTCAGTATTATCAGTGTCACTATAGTGTCTTTAAGTTCTTATTGGAGTTTTTGATTCCAAACACAAACAGGAAGTTGAAAATCAACATTGATGTGCACAGATTGACCAATACCCAGGTTACTGAGGTTTTTCTGACTTTCCTGAAAATAAATAAATAAATAAAATTAATAAACAAAACAACTACAAAAAATACTCCAGTGAAATCATGAGGGAACAAAAGAATATTATTACCCACTGTAAATCTAGCTCATAGCTCAGTGGGCCAGCCGGTAAACGGACCTTCCCAACTACACCAGAGAAACATTCTCTTTTTATCTGATTCTCACAAAGTGAGTTTGAGAAAACAGGTTGATTTCTCCTTTCTTGAACCTGTCATTTAATCCAAGGTGATAGCTGTTTTCCAGAGATGCCCTCCTGTGAACTCTACTTCCTGGAGTTTATGCCCAGTGTAGCCCCCTCCCAGGGCTGTCCAGTGACTTGATATAACTAACAGAATGCAGCAGAAGGCCTGGCAGCCAGGGCCAACTTATCCATCAGACAGTGGTGCTTAGCATCCACAATATGTTTATACTTCTATGGTCCACAACAAGGTCTTCTAATGTAAAACATGCCCAAGGACTGTTCCTTCATCTGAAGATATAATTTGTGGGTGTAGAACCAAGTTCTCTTTGAAACTCATGACATAACACAGGTCTCTCCGGTATTAAAGAAAGTTATAAAATTTCATTCACTACCATCTAGATCCTTATGAATTTTTCAGATTATAAGGCCTCTTGAAATAAATATTTCACTATTAATGTGCTTAAAGTTCTAACACCTTCAAGAACTTCTCTATTTCTAAGGTCTCAGAATTTGATGAACAAATCTGTTTGCTAATTATATATCCTTTACGGTCCTACCATAACATTCCACCATGGTCCTACTTAGTCTTTGGATTCCCACACTGAATAAAAAGCTTATATTAAAACAGAACTCTGTCCATCCTCATGATATTTTAGTTGAGATTTTCTGGATAATTCAAAATTTTATTAAGCCTTCTGAAAAGTTTAATGGGCAGAAATGCAAAAAGCTTTCAGAAGAATCCATTTATATAAAAGTAAAGTTAGTTTTTAATTTTTCTCCAATTTCAAACATAAATTATCTACAGCGAGAACAGACTATTTTCAAATGGGTCTTCTGTATATTACTATATTCTGTGCATTTTTATTATATGCACAGAAATATATAATATATATATTATCTATGACAGCAAAACTGCTAAAAACAAGTTGATACAGGACACACACACACACACACACACACACACACACACACACACACACAAATATGATGACAATTAGAAGGAGTGAGATTTTAGGCAAAGAAACTATCTGGTTGGCCAAAAAGTTCATTCTGGTTTTTCCATGCCATCTTACAGAAAAACCCAGATGAACTTTTTGGCCAAACCAATAGTTATGCAGCTACCACAACTTACTCACATGGAACCAAATAACTGTCTGTTCAAGTGTATTTACAAATGAAAAGACAGATATAAGAGCCATTTTACTTTATATGACAGACATAATTATATGGCATGTAATTTTCCTTCAAGGCACTTACCACAATTTGTAATTATATATTTATTTCTGTATATATTTGTACAATGTCTGTCTTCCCCCCGAGAATGTAAATTCCAAGGGAGAGGGGAGTTTATATGTCTTGTTCATAGTTTTGTATTTACCTCCTCACATGTTGCTTGGCACATAGTAAGCACTCAATGTAAAAATTTTAAACAAAGGGCAAGAGACTCATTAAGTGTGAAAGGTAAAGAAAATAATCAAAAATAATTCTGGCTCTCTGGACAAATAGCTGATGCTAGGTATGGGGGAGAAAAAGTGAAAGATGTACCTGGTCCATCTTGCTGTGCCTTAAATAAGGAAACGCTTATAGACTGATAGGGACATGAAAAAACAACATGAAAGGACTCCCTCCAGCTACACTGGAGAGTACACTTCTTTCCAAAGTAATATAGTGACTAAATATAGAAAGAATGATAGATTAGAGATCATTATTCACCCACCAATGTAATCATATATACCAATTAGGATCATCCGTGAATACCAAAACCACTGAGTAAAAGTTGGGGAACAGAATATTCACACAGTCCCAAAGTTTCACTGCATGGATTGCCTATTATTTACAAAGGGAAAAATTGAGACTTTACAGTATAGAAATCTACAAGACACTATTTAAACAAGGAAGCAAATGACACAGCAATAACGGGACAAACTGACATCATGCACTTCTTGCTGTGCCACAATGAAAAAGACTTAATGATTAGAATTCTCATCAAAAATATGTAATCTGTACCTAATCATTGGAAAATTTCCGAGAAATTTTATATTGTAGAATATTTTACCTTCTATAAAATAACTAACCTGAACACTTCAAATATTTTAATGTCATGAAAGACCAAAACAAACAAATTTAAAAAACAGAGGAATTATTCTAGGCTAAAGACAACTAAAGAGACACAATTACTAAATAAATTGGGGAGGGAACAGCTAAAATGGACATTATTGGAACAGTTGGAGAAATTTGAATATGGACATTAACATGATAACATTATATTAATGTTAAATTCTTGAGTAAAATATTGTGAGTGAGGATAATAATATTATACTATCTAGGAGTGCCCTTGTTTTTGGGAGATGCATACATGCTTGAAGAATTTAGAGATGACAGTCATGATGTTTACAACTTACTTTCAAAATTTCAGGAAAAAAAATAAAAAGAAAGAAGGCAAAATATTAACAACTGGTGAATCAAGGTGAAGGGTATTTGGGTGTTCACTTAGTCTCTTTCAACACTTCTATAGACTTTTAATTTTTTTAAATAAACTTCAGGAAAAAATGTTTCAATGGCAATATCTTTAGAACAAAAAATTCCAGAATCTACACATCTGAGAAAACAGTTGTGAAGGAATTTATTAGAGAGAAATAATTCTGAAGGAAAGAAGCATTGTGATACATCTTGAGTTTGGGAGAAAAAACCAGATGAGAATACATTTTCTTTTAGATTCCATATACATGTGTTAGCATACGGTATTTGTTTTTCTCTTTCTGACTTACTTCACTCTGTATGACAGACCCTAGGTCCATCCACCTCACCATAAATAAATCAATTTCGTTTCTTTTTATGGCTGAGTAGTAGTCCATTGTATATATGTGCCACATCTTCTTTATCCATTCATTTGCCAATGGACACTTAGGTTGCTTCCATGTCCTGGCTATTGTAAATAGAGCTGCAATGAACATTGTGGTACATGACCCTTTTTTTTTTTTTTTTTTCTTTTTGTGGTACGCGGGCCTTTCACTGTTGTGGCCTCTCCCGTTGTGGAGCACAGGCTCCAGACACGCAGGCTCAGAGGCCATGGCTCACGGGCCTAGCTGCTCCGCGGCATGTGGGATCTTCCAGGACCGGGGCACGAACCCGTGTCCCCTGCATCGGCAGGCGGACTCTCAACAACTGCACCACCAGGGAAGCCCCATGACTCTTTTGGAAGTATGGTTTTCTCAGGGTATATGCCCAGTAGTGGGATTGCTGGGTCATATGGTAGTTCAATTTTTAGTTTTTTAAGGAAACTCCATACGGTTCTCCATAGTGGCTATATCAATTTACATTCCCACCAACAGTGTGAGAGGGTTATCTTATCTCCACATCCTCTCCAGCATTAATTGTTTGTAGATTTTCTGATGATGCCCATTCTAACCGGTGTGAGGTGATACCTCAGTGTAGTTTTGATTTGCATTTCTCTAATGATTAGTGATGTTCAGCATCCTTTCATGTGTTTATCGGCAAACTATACATCTTCTTTGGAGAAATGTCTATTTAGGTCTTCTGCCCATTTCTGGATTGGGTTGTTTGTCTTTTTGATATTGAGCTGCTTGTATAATTTGGAGATTAATCCTTTGTCAGTTGTTTCATTTGCAAATATTTTCTCCCATTCTGAGGGTTATCTTTTTGTCTTGTTTATGGTTTCCTTTGCTGTGCAGAAGCTTTGAAGTTTCACTAGGTCCCATTTGTTTATTTTTGTTTCTATTTCCATTTCTCTAAATGGTGGGTCAAAAAAGATCTTGCTGTGATTTATGTCATAGAATGTTCTGCCTAAGTTTTCATCTAAGAGTTTTATAGTGTCTGGCCTTACATCTAGGTCTTTAATCCATTTTGAGTTTATTTTTGTGTATGGTGTTAGGGAGTGTTCTAAATTCATTCTTTTACATGTAGCTGTCACTTTTCCCAGCACCACTTATTGAAGAGGCTGTCTTTTCTCCATTGTATATTCTTGCCTCCTTTTTCAAAAATAAGGTGACCATATGTGCGTTCGTTTATCTCTGGGCTTTCTATCCTGTTCCATTGATCTATATTTCTGTTTTTCTGCCAGTACCATACTGTCTTGACTACTGTAGCTTTGTAGTATAGTCTGAAGACTGTGAGACTGATTCCTCCAGCTCCGTTTTTCTTTCTCACGATTGCTTTGGCTATTTGGCATCTTTTGTGTTTCCATACAAATTGTGAATTTTTTTGCTCTAATTCTGTGAAAAATGCCAGTGGTAGTTTGATAGGGATTGCATTGAATCTGTAGATTGCTTTGGGTAGTATAGTCATTTTCACAGTGTTGATTCTTCCAATCCAAGAACATGGCATATCTCTCCATCTGTTCATATCATCTTTAATTTCTTTCATCAGTGTCTTAAGTTTCCTGCATACAGGTCTTTTGTCTCCTTAGGTAGGTTTATTCCTATGTATTTTACTCTTTTTGTTGCAATGGTAAATGGGAGTGTTTCCTTAATTTCTCTTTCATATTTTTCATCATTAGTGTATGGGAATGCAAGAGATTTCTGTGCATTAATTTTGTATCCTGCTACTTTACCAAATTCATTGATTAGCTTTAGTAGTTTTCTGGTAGCATCTTTAGGATTCTCTATGTTTAGTATCATGTCATCTGCAAACAGTGACAGTTTTACTTCTTTTCCAATTTTTATTCCTTTTCTTTTTCTTCTCTGATTGCTGTGGCTAAAACTTCTAAAACGATGTTGAATAATAATGGTGAGTGGGCAATTTTGTCTTGTTCCTCATCTTAGAGGAAATAGTTTCAGTT